GAAGATAGGGATAAACTTCTGAATGAATTCAGAAAAGAGCTAGAAATATTGAAGAATACTCAGGCTGAAATGAAGAAGGAAGTGAAACACTCAGTAAGCTAATTAGAAAAGACAGGAGAAAGCCTCACCAATAGGATGAACGAAATGGAAAACAGAGTATCAAGACTGGAAGATAAAGTGGACGAACTAGACCACTCAAGCAAAGATTATAAAAAATTTAAGAAACCACAAGAATGGAATATGCAGGAATTGTGTGACCCCATAAAAAGACCAAACGTACAAATCATAGGCATACAGGAAGGAGAAGAATACCAAGATAATGGCATGGACCAGATCTTCAACAGAATTGTGGAAGAAAACTTCCCAAAATTAAAGAAAGACTTGCCCATACAAATATAAGAAGCATGTAGACCACCAAACAGACAGGACCAGAAAAGAAACTCTCCATGGCACATCATAGTAAAAACACTAAACGTACAAAACAGAGACAATACTGAAAGCTTCAAAAGAGAAACAACAAGTCACATATAAAGGAAAACCATTAGGATTACAGCTGACTTTTCAGTGCAAACTATGAAAGCCAGAAGAGCCTGGACCAAAGTATTCCCAGTGTTAAATGACCACAGATGCCAACCCAGATTACTATACCCAGCCAAAATGTCTATTATAGTCAAAGGGGAAAGAAAAATCTTCCATGACATAAATAGGCTGAAGAAATTCATGTCCACAAAACCAGCCCTTCAGAGAGTTCTGGGAGCAATACAAAGAGCTAAAGAAAGGAATGACTATACCCAAGCGGCTGCGGAAAGAAATCCAATGAAGGTATAACTGTGGAAAAGAATAGCTATATCATGACTGTAAACAGAAATAAAAATTACAGGATTTAATACTCATCCTTCATTAATAACTTTAAATATTAACGGACTGAATTCCCCAGTCAAAAGACACAGACTAGGTGAATGGATTAAGAAACAAAACCCATCTTTCTGTTGTCTGCAAGAAACTCATCTCACTTTCAAGGACAGACAATATCTCAAAGTGAAAGGATGGAAAAAAATATACCAAGCAAATGGCACTAAGAAAACAGCAGGCATAGCAATTCTAATATCTGACAAAATAGACTTTAAACTAAAACTAATCAGAATAGACAAAGAGGGCCACTTCATTTTGATCAAAGAACAATGAATCAAGAAGATATTACAATCATGAACATATATTCACCAAACTCTGGTGCACCCAACTTCATAAAAACAATACTAC